CCACTTCTGTTATGTCTTATGCTTTATTCACTATATCACATGATATGATTGCCAATTAGAACATTGACTTAAACATCTTTGGCACTGTGCCAAATCACTGATGCGTTAACTATTACGAATAGCTTAAAGTTAATCTCTGAGTTTTGATTGGTTTTTCCGTTTAGTTTTGCCTGTTGAGCTTAGAACATAGTTTCTACTGTATGTATCGCATATTTCAGATATACATGATTTATATTACAAGTAAATCAAATTGCATAATACTATAAAATAGAAAATAACAATTATACAAAATCAAGCTAAAAGTATTTGTGAATATGAGTTACCCATAGTTTAATCTTCGTTCAAGGTATCCTTGTAGCATGTAAAACAAGTGAAAATAACCAACTTCGGTTAGAGGAAAATCCTTGTTCTTAGTAATCAAGACTAGACCAATTTTAAAAAATACTAAATCAGAAGGTAGGGGAAAAATTGTGTGTTAAAGACAAGACTCCCTGATATAATTCGACCTTTCAGTGGTAAGTAACAGTTTGTTTAAGATAAACAAAATGGTTGGAGTGCTACGGTTTACTATGGCTTGGTATTATATCAGCCAAATTATGTTGCTTGTATTAGGACAGTAAATCTACGTGAGGAAGCCTTTTCCCTTAAGAGTATCGTTTGACTTGATAAAAGATAAAGAAATAGTCAACTTAGAGTTTTAGCAACCAATGGTTAAGGTGTCCTAGGAGTTTAGGTGTAAAACTGAAAATTTACTTTCTGTATGAGAGGTTGAGACAAAAACGACGTTAAATTCGGCAAAGGCCAAGATCATAGTAATTCACTGGGTCCTGAAATTGACTTACAGTAATTCCGATGGAAAACACCTGCATGACACATAGCAGATACAGTGACAATCATAACAGTTAGAGATGTATCAACTTTTGTAACTTCCGCTCGCATCAGTAACACTAAATCTTACAACTCAGTTGAGATATATGTTAACTAGTATAGGGGTTGTGGAGGTAATCCATGTCGGGTAGAGACAGGTATCTACCTCAGTACAACGGAAGTTGGTCCCGCAATTTCGTGGATTAGTTGATGTTAGACACTATCACCGTTGGATGCCGGCTCAGTGGTCCAGTTGATTAAGCGTTCGCGCGCGAGACCGAAGGCTCTGTGTTCGAATCACGCAAGCGGGTTCGTGGATGCGCACTGCTGAGAAGTCCCACAATAGAACGAAACGGCCGTCCAATGCTCCCAGGTTTTCAGTTGTGGTGGTCTAACATCAATCTGTTCATGATCTCAATCATATATGTTAACGTTGACTGACTTATGCAAAATTCCTTTGTTACCAACCTCGAATCAAAATACAAGAAAAGTCAACCAATATACCTTGTATCACTCCCTATTTAAAAACACATATGGTTATATACATCAAATACAAAACTACGATGAATCAGAATTGTGACATTTATATATGGACATCACTAGGTCATCTGTTTTGAGAATTCCATATTGTAGTAAATATACAACATTACATAGAGCCATTATTATCATACTTATATCTGAAGTTCGTGCTGATGATGTCGTTCAGAAGAACGATGAAAGCTCCATGATCAAACCATCCAGCTAAGAGAACAAAACTTCATCAAAATTATCATACAAGACTTACTAACGTGCACATAGTTATCTAACTGTAGTCTATGAAGCTTAAAAGATAGACCAACAGTAACTGAACAAAATTAATTGCTTACAGCAAAGATAATATGCATATACCGTAAATTAATAGTTCAATAAATGGAGATTAAAAACATATAAACGGATTCACAAGGGAGTGACTGTCAAATTTTCCTATTACCTTTAGTTGATGTTCACAGTGCACTTACAGGACTGCTGTGGTTTAGGTGTTGCTACTTCAGTTTTAATGATCCACCAGGGTGATTGGTATCTGTGTGGTTGCGCCACAAGATTGAGCTGTACTGTTAAGATTGTAGCGTTAAAGTCTATATGGTGTTTGGTTCTTCTGGAAACGGGATTGAGTTGTACTGTTTGGGTTGTCACGTGAAAGTCTGGATAGTGTCTGGTTCTCCTGAAAACCAATGTAAAATTACCCTGGCCCACAAGGGTATGTTATATATATATATTATAAAAGTAGGACTCCCCTTTTAAAAGTGTTATGATAGATACAAATATCAGCTTCTCCAGGTGACACTGTGATTACCACACCTGATAGATGATCACATACTTAAAGCTGGATAATCAAAAGGCAGGATAGACAAACGAAAATAGTGACAAGGTTCGAGTACATTATCATAAGATGAGAATATTTCTTGTCCTTGAGATAGTCGTGAGGACTACTCAATCATTGTAAATATCATCTTCAATACGATCGTTGAACTCTGTTGTAGAAAAAAATTGTTGTTTGTTGAATATTGAACAAGTATGAAGGACATTATTCATAAAGATATCTGATCAAACATCCTTGTGATAATATATGTTCTAAAGAACACAACATCATGAATGAACCACGCCAGTCACTGCTTCATTCAAAGAAAAAAGCTTTCGTCAAACAATTCAGATCATAGAGTATATATGATCCAAGAAGATACAAGATTTTTAAAAAAAAGAGTAGTCTTCACAATAAAACTATCAGTGGACCCAAACACATCTGTATTAATTTGTGGCACAAATTTAAAGTAAAATATAATGTTATTTGCTTATGTCCCATGCTAATACCACCTTTTTTTGAAAAAGAATATCATAGCTATCTATAAAGGTTCATGCGTAATAGATATATAATTCACTGTAGCCTTTGTAAAACGTGCTACATGTTCCTTCGCTCTCGTACAATTAAAAGGTACTTGATTGAGATCACGAACCGATTGATGTTAGACCACCTTTGGAAACCTGGAAGCACTGGACGGTCATTTCTTCCTATTGTGGGACTCCTCAGCAGTGCACATCCACGATCTTGCTAGCGGGATTCGAACCCAGGGCCTTCGATCTCACGCGCAAACGCTTAACTTACTGGACCAATGAGCCGTCATCCAATGGTGATAGGGTTTAACATTTGACAAAAAGAATATAATTATATACTACTTAAAACTAACTAGCTATAACATATGCCCAAATGACTTTCTCTAAGAAATAATATAACATCATTCCGTGATTCTTTATACGAGTACATATTCTTGCAATTTAATGGTTTCGTGCAGTAATAAGTAGTGGACAAGGTAATAATAAGCAATTTAGGAAACGTTTAGTCCATTTAAAAAAATGGTTTGCATTGAATGTCGTTCTTTTTTTCCTTAAAGTGAATACAATTGAACACTTTAAATATTAAAGTTCCAGTAGTATTTTGTTTTGGCTACTGTTTACTTAACAGTTTATGTTAGTTTAATAGGGGATCACTCATGTGTATATTGAAGTAATCATTACTGACATATTCTGTCTTACAATGTTATAGCACTATCAAAACTGCTGTTTTGAGTCGATCTATTCATTTCCTGTATTCCTACTTGAGAGCCTCTCTGTCTTTGTTTGACCGATTTTTTTTCACAATACATTTAGGTCAATGTATAAGACAACGAATAATGTTCTCCAGTTCCTAGTTGTTGATTATTTAAGTCATATCTTCAGTCTACTGAATATAAATCCATAGTATTGTAGCGTGGCGTCGAGTCGCCATTGACTATGATCACCACTACAGGAAGGTTGCGTACCAAATACCAGAAGGCGATCGAAGGTTGTAGCGATATATATTTGTTGGTGATCTCGTGGTATCGAAAGGAGTACAAGAGAATTTACTGAGCAAACGTAAGTTCGTGTAAGGTGACAACCAACGGAAGGAAGAATGGATGTTTTTAGTACAACTAAACAAACAAGTACAGTAAAACAATCACTGGTACAATTGGCTTTAATAATAATTGTTTCCAGTAAACCAATCGCGTTCTCTTGATAAAAGTAGGTCACTACAGTTTATACGGATGAAAATATGTGCTACACTAAATAATGTTCGATACATAAACTCTCCTGTTATTTGACTTCCACAGTTTTATCTAAGACGAATTTGTGGAGATCATCAGAAGAAACGTTATTTACTCCCTCTCTCTCACTATTCAATTGCAACTGTATATTAAGCATTTGTTGTAAGATAGATGAAAAATCCTTTGAAATGTTCTCATAATCTTGTGTAGTGATACGATTTATCGTTCTTGATCAGCTTTCACATGTTGACTGCATTTAAACGATAAAGAACACACTCCTTTTTGATGCTAATGAGCCATCATAGTACTTTAAACTATCGAGTTAAGAACTTTACTACTGGATTCAGGATTTTTTTCAGACTGATGATTCTATTGTCATAATTAACTCAAGTCAACCTCTACTCTTAACAAGAGGTATATCACAAGTTTCTTCGTAGTATACGACTCCTCGGCATTTAGCAGAACCTTTGCTCCCATTCACTAATTCCTAAACTCTAGACCATTGTGTCAGCATCCAACGGTGTTGATGTCTAGATTCAATTAACCCATAACATTATATTATCATCTTCATACGAAACCAAAGTTCAAGGGTTCGATTCTCGGGTGCGGGAACGTGGATGAACACTGTTAAGATGTCATATGCCAGTAGGAAACATTTGTTCAGTGCTTCTAAGTTTTCAATCATAGTCCATGATTTCAATGAAATTCAACAATCTCCACGACCTCATAACTGAAAATTATCTCTATGATTTCAGTTTTAAATTCATTCACTTCTCTGAAATCATTACTCTTTTTCATATTAGAATTATTGGTCCAATGGTTAAGTGCTCGCGCGCGAAACGAGTAAGTCCTGGATTCGAATCCCGCGGGGTGCGGGATTGTGGATGAGCACTACTGGGGAGTCCCATACTAGAACGAAACGGCCTTCCAGTGCTTCCAGGTTTTCCATGGTGGTCTAACTTCAACTGACTCATGATTTCAATTCGTAAAATTTCTAAAATCTCCACAAACCCCTTCTGATAAAAACACATAATATATCCAGAAGATATTTTATTTATTTACTTAATCTGAACGAATGAAACTAATAATGAAAATGAAATAATGATGATGATGATGATGATGACAAGAATAAGTAACAACAATAATGATGATGATAAATGTTTATATTCACAGCCTAAAACTGTTACATAACAATGATCTGATGTCAATGTTTAACTAATGAAAAAAAAAACAGATCAAGATCTCACAGACACACACACACACACGCAATATTGATCTAAGCATTGAACAAAAAAACGACATAGCTACACACTTTAACAGCGTAAAGCATTGAAAGTGACATTGATCATAAGTATAAATAAGAAACAATGTAATTTCTAATCGTTATGCCTATCAACATTGTTTAAACAAAAAACAAAATTCAATAAAAGATAAACAAAACAAAACAATAAAATAAAATATATATTCGTGAAATATTATGAAAATAAATAAATAAATGAAGAAAAAAAAGAAGATTGAAGTAATATATATATAATTGGAAGTAGAAGCTGTGAAATATAGAACACTTCCCTACCCTACCCCCCCTTCTTCATACAATCAATTAATTATGAAATGATAGAAATGGCGCTTTAGTTATACACATAAACACACACAATAAACTGAACAAAATGAGATTGTCACAGTAACTATGTAGTAACTATATCATAGTAACCATGAAGGATGGATGGTATAACAGACGGTTGAGTTGGATAGAAGAGAAAAAAAACTCCAAAATGCATGAGTTCACATGATAACTATTCATATTCTCCAACAACAACAACAACAACAACAAAAATAAAACCAAAAAAAAAATAGAATCATCTAATTAATAATGAAATCATTGAATTTATATTTTTATCATATATCTGTAATCTATTACATAATACAATGTTTACAGTTTTAAAAAAAATGATGATAAGCAGATCGAAAATGTATCAGATCAAGTACATAATACGTCATAGCAACAACAACAACAACAGCAACAAACAACAATGATAATCGATAATTCCTGTTTCATATAAGAGACAAAGAAGAGAACTGTACACATTTAAGAGTAACCCCCCCTTTTCTTTTCAATGGATCAATGTATATAATATTATAGCAGAAAAATAAGATAATAATAATAATAATAAGAGTAAATCAATAAATGTAATAAACTAGAAAATGTTTATCTATATGTAAAACAGTATGAAATCAAATGAATAAATGAATGATTGAATAATTAAGTATTAAACTAGCACACAATACAAAAATTAATTCAATCAAGGAACATCACAGGTACTTGTATGACAATTAAAAAAAAAAGAAAAAGAAAGAAAAGAAAAGTGACACACATACACACACACATATAGTTTATCATGAATTAAACACAATGAGAATACTCATTTATACTATTCTTCTTTTTCTCTTAGTTGAGTCATGGCAACAATGATGGTAACGAAGGCGACGGCGACAACAACAACAACAACAATAATAACTTCAACAAAATAGTAATACTAAACAATTAAAAAAAATTGATCATTTTTTAAAATTAGATTTAAATAAATTAAGAAAACGTGAATGAAATTTCATTTTTCTTGATTTTATAGGAATTCTTTCATTAGAATAAGGATGTGAATGAAAACTTGTAAATGAAAAAGATGATGATGTTGAGGAGGATGAACGACTTCGTGTTGTTGTTGTGGTGGTGGTGGTGGTGACGGCAGCGGTGGCGGGGGTGGTGGTCTTTGCTGTTGTAGAACTCTGTGGTAATTGATGAATACTACTATTATTATTATTATTATTATATTCATGTAATAATGATTGTTTTTCATTACATATTATATCATTTTCATTATTCATTGTTGAAGAAACTGATATAGATGAAGATTTATTTGGATAATGTTCATAATCTTTTATTATAGACATTGATATATTATGTAATTTTTGTTGACTTGTCTCTAATTCATTCCAATGTGATATCATTATAGTTGGATTATTATTATTATTCTTAATATCTAATTGTTTAGATGAATTTGTTATTGTTGTTGTTAATAATGGTGTTGATGTTATTGTTCTACCAATAATTTCAATAGATTTATCACTAATATCATGACTGTATGGTTTAGATAATGATTGATATGTATCATCATTAAATGAAGGATGATGTTGTTTATGGGAACGTTTTAAAATTGGACCACAACTTAAAGTGTTCCGTGGAAGACAAGATACTTTTTTGTGTTTCACCGTTTGGGATGAAATAGATTGCTAACAAACAAATAAACAAATATAAACAATAATGACAATTATGAAAAGTCAATAACTGATATTATGAGTCAATTGAAGCTAGATCAACATAAAAAAAATCTGGAAGCACTGGAGAGCCGTTTCGTCACATTGTGGGACTCCTTAGTAGTGCGCATCCACGATCCCCCCTTGCTAGATCGCGAACCCAGGACCTATCAGTCTCTCACGTGACCGCTTAACCACTAAAACATTGGACTTGCTGGTATCCAATGATGTTAACGTCTAACTTCAATTAATCCATGAAATTGAGCGACATATCCACCATTGTCTTTAGTGAGTTACTATCTCATAACTGACCCGTTTGAACTCCACTGGTCAGTTTCTCACTAGAACTTCAGGAAATACCTCTTAAAGTCAGTCACTAGTGAGTATATGTTGGATAATATGAGAAGGAGTTTTTGTGAATATTATAGTGATTTCAATAGTTTAAATGATATTAAAAACATTACATAAACGAAACATATCAACTTGCAATCTTCAAGTTAATACTATATTAAGTGAATTAAAACCTAAATTAAGTAAGAATTCATTTTATTGATTCAATCATCAGTCACCATTAGATCGTACTTAAAAGTTTCTACAGATTAAACATAATAATTATAAATAAGAAAAACCAGTTAACGTGATCTCGATTCCTAAAGATATGAAAGATAAAATGTCGGCTCAATGGTCTAGAGGTTAAGCGTTCGTACGCGAAACTGAAGGTTGTAGGTTTGAGTCATGCCTGCGCAGTCGCGGATGAGGAGTCACATACTAGAATGAAAGGGCGGTTCAGCGCTTCCAGGTTTTTAATAGTGGTCTAGCTTAGATTGAATCATGAAGTCAACTATGAAACAATACACGGGAACCACTTGTAATTATAATGATCAGTAAATGATTTCTAACATTATGATAAGATTATATTCATATGTATGTATGTATGTATTTATGTATACAATGAAAGCACCACCTTAATCGAACCATATCAGAGAATTTAGCAGGATCAATACATATGTAGATATTCTTAATGTCATTATTCATTGCTAAATGACTTGAAGACAAATTCCCGTCCTAAGACTGACAATATAGCAGATCCGAATGTTGGATGTTGTATGAGTTTGTTCGAGTGTATAACACCTTTTAACATTTTGATCAATGTCAAAAGTTAAATAGTCAGTTAGTTAGTAACAACGTAGGATGTAGTACAGCTTTTTAAAATTCTCAATACGAATGGACAGAGATAAGTGTCGTGTTCAGATTAAGTGAAGGCGAATCTAGAGCAAGGAGAAGCAGCAGGGTCTAATGGATCTACCTTTGAGAACTTTACAGTTAGTAGTCCGATTTGAACTGTAAGACTGACTGAAATCTTAGAGAGTTTGGTAACTAAACGCAATTCCATATGACTGGTTTTAATCACAGAGGAATCAGTTTAATTGATATAGTGTCTAAAATACCAGACTTGATAATACTTCGAATCCCGCGAGGCGAAGTCGTGGATGCGCACTGCTGAGTTCCACAATAGGACGAAATAGCCGTCCAGTGCTTACAGGTCTTCCATGGTGGTCTAGCTTCAATTGACTCATGATCTCAAATGTTTAAAACCAGATTTATTTCAAACATGAACATGGATGTTTAAACCAAATATGTTAGATAATAAATTCAAATTTTAGATAAGCCTGCCTAGAGAACTGTTAGATCTAGAAATAAATGTCTTGTTTTGCACTACCAGAAAGATAATTGTAAGCATGAATTAACGATCGAATTCAAAGCAATTAACTTGGATTCTAGTCAGAAATGAAAAAAGTTTGCTAGCAGCTGTATTAGTAATACTGCAAGGTTGAGAATTTTATACTACATCGGACAAAGTGGACTCTCCCTTAATCTTTGCATGCATGAACATCAATTAACGGTCAAACGCCATAACATGTCTTCACTTATATCAATACATGCGGACAACTTTGAACACACATTCGACTAAAAAAATGCTGAAGTAGTGGATAGATGGAATGCTAAAAACACCAGTGAATATTCAGAAGCTTGGGGCTTAGGTCAATCAGCAATCAACAAACACATTGAAATCGATCAAATCTATCAACCAATCCGAACAATCCTGGACAAATATAGGAACGAAAATCAGAGCAAAGGCAGATACAATCACAATAAAGAGATAAACAATGAAAAATGATTAACAGTCAACAATAACCAATCAAGATCGGGGTCTGCAGGACAAGCTGTGAGTCATATGTGAAGTAATTTGAATATTTTATTTCTACCTGAGGTTTGTGCTGATGATATTGTTCAGCAAAACAACGAAAGCTCTATGACCAAACCATCCAACTCAGAGAATAAAATTCCATCTAAATCATCTACTTGACCTACAAATCTCCACCATTTCATAATTATATACAGTTTGAAATGAGTTCTAATCGGCAGAAAATTTAATTCAAAGTGTCAGAATCTTTGAAGTGACTTTGAGATGGGTAATTATGTTACGCCCCGATAAGAATAATGAATGGTAACTTTTGGGATCCATTTATGGACCAATACTATGCGTACATTTTTATCATATAATTGTTAAATAACTAAACTATTCATATTCATGTCCCTCTTATTATGAGCTTTATTTTGACCTGTGAACTATTATTATACGATTTACCACTCGTGACTTATACCCAATCTATCAATCACTATCTTCCACATTTCCAGCCACATTTGGCTAATTCTTGTACAAATGTTATTTTCCATTTTATGGCACGATGTGGTCTGTCTGGTTGATATATAAACCCAGAATGTTTGAAATAAATGATTCATATTGCAGAAGCTGAGATTAGCGTTCTGGACTTAACTGACTGGGCTAGACACGAAGCAGGACGGATAAGTACTCTAGACTGCTGCTCGTACGGGTTTTACACGTTATTGGTCTGATCGATAATTCACTGCTCTCCAATTGGCGGTATCGTTACGTTATACATTAACAGGGCACATAGGCTACAAGTTATAACAAATGAGTAGTGTTTACTGTTGTTAAGTTCAAGATGGAAAATGAAAAACAAAACAAAACAACAGAACTTACTAATACTTCATTAGTTTTTATTAAGATTTCACATAAAAATAAACAACTACTTACCATTATTCTCATTGGAATAAACATTCCATGAGTTATAAAATAATCAGGATCACTAATTCTTGATGTCATTGATGATATTTCAGATTTGGATTTAGATTTAGATTTTAATATTGATTTATTTCCCATTGTTTGAATAGATGATGAATAACTAGATCTAATCTAATATCAAAAGATTTATGAAAGAGAAATTAGTCTTAAAATACAGAGGTATCTTTTCTTTCGAAAAAACAAATAACCCAAAGATTAAATTATAACAATAAATCATTCTTTCATATCTATGAATTCGAACAATGAATAATAGTAAGTTTATTTTAAAAAGTGTAAAATTCCTGGATGAATAAAACATGTGATGCTAGGTGATTTAAAGTAGTTAGCAGGATAAATCTGACATTCGTTATTGCTCAATGATCACCCGAACGTAGTTGCTACTTTGACGTGGTGGTTGGGCTGGCCTATCGTGATGACCCAACAGAGCTATATTGCCTGGAATATATGTTCCTGTGGGTTCTATCATGCCACGCAGGTCGATCGGAGAACGGTAAGACTAAAAGCAGCAACTCAAGGTCTGACTGTAGAGGGGTGTGACAGAAGTAAGGTGTTTCCCTCGGACAACCAGCATCTGCAGCGATGCTGCCTTCTCATAAGGAAGGAAGGGGTTAGAAAAGGTCGACCATTAAAATATCACGCCTCACCTTACCTCGCGGATTACCGTCTCCGGCGGTACGGCCTTTTGGAGAACAGAGCTAACGTTAGAAACCTCCCACAAAAAAGCCATGAGCGACCGGCATCAAGCAGTTGTCCGTTGGGGTCTGCGGTCATGCTCTCAGGTCGCTAAGATCAACATTAATCCAACTTCCTTTTCAGGTTCCTCAAGAAATACCCTTCCACGGTGTGGGCAGCCGGGAAGAGATATCAGCCCTCATACACGTAACAGCACATGAGACTGCTCAATGATCAATCAACGTAGACATGTCAGACTGATCGATCGATGAAAAACTCGTACTATCCAAGATCTAAATGTTTATCATTTATGTCAGTCAGTAATCCCTAAAAGTTTTGATAAAGACCCAATCTAGCAAGAAATAAAGACTTTGTAACTAAGTGATGATCTATTGAATTACATTCAAGAAAACAGTGTTTATGTTACTAGATTATAACTACTTGTAATGCAAATCATTTTAAAGGTTTGCTCTTGGCTCATACAACATGACATTGAATGATATAGTGTTTTACTAAGGCTATTATTAAACAAATCGTGCATACCCGAAAAATGGCTATATCTTAAAATTTATTTTTAGTTAATTGATGCATGTGAAATTATCTTATGCTTTTAGGCCTAAAAATGAATGAATACATCAGCAATCAACAATGTGTGGTAGACCTACCTGTTATAAATAGTTGTTTTAGGTTGAAACAAATATCTATCAACAGTATCAATCAAATGCCCTGGTACGGTTAATGATGAAGACAATCCGCTCTCCTTTTCGAAATGTTCTCGTATGGCTATACGTATATAGCTATAGACCAGCAAGTTTTACTCACTTCCTTCTCGTAGCGTGGGTTTTGTTTACGAAATTGAGAGCATTTTAGCTTATATCAGTTCGTGATGAAAATTATAAATCTAATTCCTAATTCTAACCATCAACTGCAAACCTTAATCGTGACCAGTGGAACTAATCCTTGTCGGGTAGAAACAGGTGTCTACCTCAATACGATGGTCGCGTAATTTCGTGGATTGATTGAGGTTAGGCATTAACACCGTTCGATGCAGATTCAGAGGTCTAGAGGTTTAGCATTCGCGCGCGAGACTGAAGGCCCTCAGTTTAAATCCCGTGAGCGGGATCGTGGATGTGCACTGCTGAGGAGTCCAACAATAGGACGGAACGGCCGTCCAGTGCTTCCAGGTTTTCAATGGTGGTCTAACATCAATCGGTTCATGATCTCAATCAAAAACTTAATAATCCTTATTCTTCAAACTGTTTTATAACCCTCATTTAACTCTAGTAAGAAGGTGTACATTCTGAAGATCATTACGACGTTGATCAAATATTGTCCATCAATTATAGTCTCATCAAAATCATTTACACATAACTAATAAGTAATAAACTATTCACATGATTGATCATCACCTAAATATGATTGATCGATTATCTTTAACCAAAAATTAGAACGAAATAATGAATTGATAGAAGTACTTTATCCAGTAACTATTCATTGAAAAACAAAAAAAAAACTATTTACAAACAAACATGTAAATAACTTATCACATGAAACATAAACATCTTTTACAAATATAAACACATGATATATTTGGTTAGTGTAATGTAATATAATCATAAATAATCATAACAACATAAATTAATGATTAGTTACTATGTGCTTTTTGGTTTGTTTGTTCCCCTTTAAATTATCTATACAAACATTCATGTTTTTTTTATTTATTTTGGAAAGTGTCACTTTTACAAATGATTATAATGATTGAAAACAACTTACCAATTGTTCATCAGAGGAAGGAATGAAATTTAAACGTCGACCACTAGTTGTATTCTTTTCTTGTAAATTATTTAAAGTATAAGTTGGTTGAAGTGATTTATAACGTATTCCATCATAATGTTCTAATAAGAAAAATGTATTACAAAGAAAAAAGAAAATTAGATTAAAACTTTAATAATGAATTGAAATAGATTAGGAATTGAATGTAATTCAGTCACGTACACATTGTCATAGTGACATTGAGTTATATTGGTGTACAAAGTAACATCTTAATCAAAAGTTAACAGTTTTAAAGATTATAATTAAGAACACCTGAAAAAATTTTCGAAGAATTGACAACTGATTAACACCGTTGAATGCCGGTCAGCTCAGTGGTCTAGTGGTTAAGCACTCACACGAGAGACCGACAGGTTCTGGGTTCGAATCCCGCGAGGCAGGGTCGTAGATGTGCACTGTTGAGAAGTCCCACAATAGGACGAAACGGTTGTCCAGTGCTTCCAGGTTATTCATGGTAGTCTAGCTTCAATTGACTCATTATCTCAACTATTAAAATTACTACAATCTCCACAAAACCCCTTCTGATACTAATGAAACAAAAAGACTTAACATATTAGTTCATTCGTCATCATTGTTATTACGGAAGTACTACTGTTGGATGTGGATAAATATTTGAATTCTAAAGTGTATAGACGCACATCAATTAGAGATGCAATGGTAAAAATTAAAGCTGGTTGCGTTTAATGAAATATTGTGCACATTTCTAGTGTGGGATATACTACTTTTGTTAACAGATATATAAGTAGTATGCAACACCAATCAGAAATGAAATGCCTGGCAGCAGAAAATTGAAAAGATCAAGTTGAAGTGAACAAGAATATAAACAGACAGTAATGGTAATAAAAACAGGAATGAGGGAACGATAAAGTTTTTAAGAGACAAATGATAAAAGATGTGCAGATGAAGTATTTAATGTACAGTTCTACAAAAGAACTCTATAATTTTACATCAATCAATAAATTAGTTATCTAAAACAAGTTATCGTTCACTACACTAGCAATTTCTAGCAGTTTCTTTTTCTCAATCTGCCTTCACACATGATAGAATACAAATCATACGTAGACAAATGTGTTATATCCGGACAAAGAATAAATGAATGGTAACCGTTAGAAATTATTTATGAACTAATTTTATACGTATATTCTTATTGTATGACTATGAAGTGACTCTGTTATATGTATATTCATATTCCTTTTATTATAAGCTTCCATTTGATCTATTGACTACTACTGTACGATTTACTATTCATAAGTTATTCCCAATTTATTAGTTTCAGTCTCCCACACTCACAACCCCTTTTTGGCTTGATCTTGTACAAATGTTATTTTCTATTTTATGGTACGACATGATCTGTTTGGTTTGTATATAAATCAAGTACATATCACGGAGGCTGAGAATGAGATTTTTGACTTAATAGGCAGGGCTCAAAGCAAAAGGACTAATCACTACTCTAGGTTGCTCGTTCTGGTGTATGCGTCATTGGTTTGGTCGTATAAGTCGGCGGATCTTAATTTGGCAGTCGTATTTCATGAAGATCGTATAAGCTAAGGACAAAACAAATTAAGTAACAGTTATGATATGGACAGCATAATGACATAAGAACAGTTATGCATTGTCATATGTACCGCATATATTAAAAAGACCAAAATGAACATTTACAAAGTTGAATATACGCTGTTATACTTTAGTATACAACATAGTGCCCCTAAATGCCCTGGTACGGCCGAAGGTGGGTAGAGTCCGTTCCCCCTCTCGAAATGCTCTCATATGGCCACGTGTATACAACTATTGACAATGAAGTTCTACTCACTGCCCTGTTGCGGCAGGGATATTGTTTACGAAATTGAAAGGACTCAAAGCGAATGTCCGGCGATTTAACCGGGTTGGTACATATGGATAGTCCAACTAGGGGAGTTGGAAAATTCTAAATTTAAACCTATGGTGCACATGGGCACAAGGATCCTGAGGGGACAAATGACGTATGAACATATTATTGGCCATCGGATACCATGAGACTGCATTTCCTGACGTTACTCTACTGCCTTGTGGATCAGACCTTTAGGTCAAAGGATCCGGGTGTGATCCCTTAAGAAAACTACCTGCTTCAGTTTGGGCACCTAGGCAGTATACCAGCTCTCACACAAAACTATGATAGTCTTATTTTCTCATTATTTAACATAAATTCAAAATGTATTATATGAAGCTATAAACAATTGGGAAGTAAAAAAAAAACTTTGTCAGGAAAACAAGAATGTATACATTGCAAGTGTAATTCAGCTGATTTCTAGTACATATGTATGATACAATGGAATAGTAGATAAGATATTCGTCTTCTGAACTTTCAATGAAAATTGACTCGCATATTTATTGCTTGTTATTGTTGCTATTGTTCTGACTCATGGATGGTTGTTGAAGTTTTAGAAGTAACGTTTGTTGATTCAAAAAGTTTAATAGTGACATGTTATCTTATTATCAACATTATCATCCCTCTATGAGCCTGTAGAGGCTGGTACTATGTCAAGCCCATATATAGGTCTTTTACCCTCTGGATAGGCCAATCTATTCATTATTCTCAAGCCACATTTTTATCATGCTAGTCATTAGCCTATAGTGACCTACTTTTATGAAGAGAACGCGATTGGTGCAATGGAAACAATTATTATTATAACCAACTGTACCAGGGATTCTTTTACTGTACTTGTTTGTTTAACTGTACCAACACATGCATTCTTCCGTTGATTGTGACCTTGCACGGATTCGGTTCGGCTCAGTAACCACTCTTGTACTCCTTTTGCACGATCTCGGTATTCTTTCGATACCACGAGATCGCCAACAAATACATCTTGACTACAGCCATCAACTGCCTTCTGATATTTGGCTTACGGGGAATCTTATCGGTTAACTGTCACGTAGTCTTCCTGTGGTGGTGGTCATAGTCAACAACGACTCGACGCCGCACTACAAGCTAACCAACTTCGACTGTTTTTCGATGTGAGTGTGTGTGCGTTAATTACTTAACCCATTCATCATATTTCTGTGACTTATTTTTCTTTGACTATCAATATCGAATAATGCTTGATTAAATGGAATTGGCTCACTTGCTTTCTGCACTGTGCGTCATCTCGTTTTGTTTAGCTCTTTCTTTTTCACTTTGTTTCTCTGATTGTCTGTTCAGACTAACCATTGTACGAAATATACGTATTCGAAATCCATTCTCATATTTGATTTATTTAATTCCATTATTCAACAACGGCTATTTAAGTCAGTGATTACATATGACGGTAGCCGGGATATATATTTCAGTAACAATCAGAAACGATCAAACTGGAGTCAGATATAGGGCCACTAAAAGTCGATTACAACTACAAAAATTCCACATTAATGAACTAAATAGGTAATATTACATTAAAAAGAATGTTAATTATAAATAAGGGATCAATAAAATACTAAATAACATATTAATCAGTACCTGAGCGTAATGAAGTTTTGTCCGTTCCTAAGCTTAAATCTTCTTCAATCGATGACAATCCTTGACTGCTTTTATTTAACAAGCCTGTTAACCGATTTAATTGACTGTTTGCATTTGTCAATCTCTGTCTTAAACACCAATTAGTATCAGACTGAAGGTCTAGCTAAATACGATTAAGTATATAAATGAATAGAAAAAAAAACAAGATGTTATATGAAGTTTGATAAACAATGAAAACTAGGTATCATAGTATTTATAATTTATGCGTTAGTCGTAATCAGTCATCTGCAATATAGGACCAGGCACATATATAAATCGGTCCAAATTGACATACCTAACTAGTACAAGAACACCAAATTCATAGAAATAGTTACTTCAATGGTAGTGTTAGTTCGTAGAAAGAAAGGTATAAAGTAGTTTTAATCTCACAGACAAAGAGTGTTTACACTGACGTTATTGTGATCGATCCTGAGCCATATCACCCAAAGTATCTAACCATTGACTACGATAGTTGGGTGCACCTCAACCAAGTAGTTTACATCTGCCAACATGGCATAGATCAGAAGTTATTGACTTTATGAACTTATGCTACGTTTAAGTTTGGCCACCACTAATGCCTGGCTTGAAATTGAGTTGGCTTCCCAGCCATCTTCCCTGCGTGTCATTTTTACTTGGCTTCACCGTGCGCTTGGTTGCTGTACGTTTGCGGATTTTTATTATTCATTAACAATAAATTATCTCTACAACTGGTGTTCAGGCTTCTGAATAATCTCGAGTAAATCCGTAATTCTACTAGGAGATTAAGCCTACCAAAAATACTCAGTTTACGGGATATTATTTATTGGAGTCAAATATTGAGGACATTAGCCTCAACAAAACCACATTATGTTACCATTGAGATTGAAGCGTTAAGATTATCATATAACAATATACACAATCAGTTAAATGCATAAAATGTTTTTATTGAGATCATGAATCGATTGATGTTAAACCACCATTGGAAACCTGAAAATACTGGACAACCATTTCGTCCTATCATAGGACTCTTCAGGAGGGTGCACCTTCGGTCTCGTGCGTGAATACTCAAACCTCTGGATTAATGAACCGGCATCCAGTAGTGTTAATGTTTAACTTCAACCAATCCACAGAAATTCATTTTACTTACTTCAGATGTAACAATATGATATTGATCTAAAAGATATTTGGCTAAACTGCGTAATTCATGCAAATTTCTCAAATGATCCACAGAACTAATTAATTCATTTATTGATGCTTTTTCTGAACGTCTTGGATAAGTTAAATTTGTTGTAAAACTTAAATTAGATGAATCAGATATTTCAGAGATCTGTTTAGATTGTGAAAACGATGTAGTAGTTGTAGTGGTATTAGTAGGTGTAATAGATGAAAGAGTTTGAATAAAACAAGTAACTCCTGAAGTTGTCGTTGTAGTGATACTTGTAACAGTTGTAGTACATCCTGGATGTTCTTCTAATAATGATGATGTTGAACATGGAGAAAATGAGAGAGGTGATTGAAGTATTTTTTGAACACTTTTTTCATGAGTTTGTTGTTGTATACTATTGTTTATTGGGATAGTAGTTAATAATTTCGTCAAAATATTGATTAACTCTTCTTGTCTGTGTTCAGATAATAATGGTTTTTTCGATTCGAGAAAATGTTGATTCATTTGATTTAATGCATTCAATGCATTTTGAACTAACGTATACAAATGTTGTTCATACCACTAAAAAAAAGGAAGTATAGAATCTTAGTTATTTGTGTATTATATATGAATCTATTACTTAGTAGAGCGGATTACCTAGTGGGACGGATGATTCACGAACTAACGTGAGCGGTAATCCAGGTCATAGAGACCTGGCTAATCACCCACTCGATCGATACCCTCATACCGATTACGAACTCTACAAAGAAACACAGCACAATTACTCTTGGATGGAAAAACGACAAAAAATTGACAACATTGGTGCATTTAATGTACGTTGTTGCTCCTTACAGGGCAAACTCCAACTGGTTGCATAAACAGCTATTCTAGCACCGGTAGTTGTGCTGTGCTTCTATGTGGCCTGTTTCCCTCCAGAAGGGCCTACTAGGCTTCACCGAATTGTTTGGCTGAAAGGGGAGGCACTTAGTAAGTGTGAGAAAAAAACGTGACAAAACAACTGGCCGGTAAAATACTAGCATGGTTGATAGTTGTAAAATGATCCAAGTGAGTTGGCAAAATAGTTATTCTTTTTTCTTGAACCTAAGCTTCAAATTTCAGTTGAGTTCTGTCACAACAATGAAGTACTGATCAGAGTTTGTTTAAAATCTACAAAACGTTGGAAAATGTTTGTATTCCACATCACTGATATTTATCATATCGTGAATTACATTCAATTATCATGAAGAATATCTTTCCAATCAAGCAATAAGTTAGAATAGGTGGTAAATGTTAATAAACTTTGTTTGTTTACCAATATTCGAATACATTTGGAGAAAGTTAGTCTGGTAAACCCGCCTGATTTAGTAGCACGTTAAATTCATATAATTCATTCTTGTTTATAAAGCATTGGGAGAATTAGAAAAGTTAATAAAATCGAATTTGTTCCATAGTTTATGAATAAGGTGGGGATATTTAGCTGCTTAGGTCTTATGAGTAACATACAGCTAGGAACTAATCATGCAGTTGATTTACAGTAGAGCAATAAGTTGAGATGTCTTCTGACTTTAAATGACTTATTTTTATTCTACTTACTCCATTTGAAATAAAGACAGTCAATGGAACTATAGTATCATTATTTTGAACCCAATGCATGCACAAATGTTTCCTAGGTTGGCGGTTCGTATCTGCCTCGTCAATGTCTAGTGGTGGGTATGGAGCATCCGTCTAAGGAAGTTGGAAAACTGATTCCGAAACAGTGGTGAACATGAATTCCAGAATCCTGAGAGATCGAATAGATTAGGAACCTATTGCTGGTAACCAGATATTGTAGGATTGCATCTCCTAAGATTGCCCCATTGCTTTGTGGACTATAGGCTCAGATGTGGTCCCTTAATAGGACCACTTGCTTTGACTTGAGTACCCAGGTAGTGTTCCGGCTCACACACAAACTCAATGATTTGTTCGGTGCCCCTTTGTAAAAATATTTGTGTCTACATAAATAAATAGACAGATTTTCTGAAAATCCTATCAAAAATCAAATCAACAGTCAAATTTTCATTGTTCTGGTGCTGTTTATTGGTCATAAGTTAAATGATAACAGTCAGCCACAAACAAAGTGACATTAAGCACATATGAACAACAATAGAAGCTGCCACATCACGTTCAGATGACAACAGGAAGTTGAGAGAAAAAAATCCCATCTAGTTTTCAAATACTCATCTAATGAGGTATACGGATGGCGACTTTATTTGTAGGACGGTTGTATAGGTAACACACATTCAGCACAAATTAACCTCTTGTAGCTATTCTCATGAAAATGATCATTAATAATTAGAGAAGATTATAAGGGATCCAACATTGTTTACTACTATTAATTAATATTAAAATATCACTTACATCTATATCTTCATGATAAGATATTTGACCAGTAGATTGATCTGTCATTTCTATTGTTTCAACATTTATAAATAATTGATTCTTGGAAATGGATGATATGGTATCGATTTGTTGTTCAATAGATTCTTTGGATTCGAACATATTGATATTAATACGATGTATTGGTATACTATTTATATCGATTGGATCTATATTTTCCCAATATAAGAATTTATTAAGTTTCTTTATGAGAATTTGATTGTTTAATATAGATGGAGATAGATTATATTTATTATAGTTGATTGATTCTTCTTCAGATTTATTATTTATTGAAATGATGTATAATAGTTCCGTATCACGTAAATGTAATAAACGTAGAACAAATTCTAGTGAATATTGGTCAGTATTGCTAATAGAATTTTTATAATTGTTTGAAATAATAGTCTGAGATTGTTCTTTATCATGAATTCTATTAACATCAAAAGAACTAGGTGATTGTTTCTCGTCACTTATAAAATCTACATCAGTTGTATTAGGTACTTCAGTTGAAAATGATATCACTTCATTTGTAGAATCAATAACAGGAGTATCTTTCAATTCACCAGAATAATCTCTTCTTATATCCAATAAACTTTGTTCTGTCACATTGAAATCTTCTTCAACTATTCTACTCACATCAAAAGAACTATGTGGTTGTTTCTCGTCAATTATAGAATGTACATCAGTTGTATTAGGTACTTCAGTTGAGAATGATATCACTTCATCTGTAGAACCAATAACAGAAGTATCTTTTAATTCGTTAGTAGAATAATTTCTTCTTATATCCAGTACACTTGTTTCTGTCACATTGAAATCTTCTTCAACTATTCTACTCACATCGAAAGAACTATGTGATTGTTTCTCGTCACTTATCAAATGTATATCAGGTGGAATAGGTACTTTATTTAATAGTGATATCACTTCATCTGTAGAATCGATAACAGGAATATCTTGGAATTCATTACAATAATCTCTTCTTATATCCAATAAACTTTGTTCTGTGACATTGACATTGAAATCTTCTTCAACTATTCTACTAACATCAAAAGAACTATGTGATTGTTTCTCATCCTTTAACAAATGTACATCAGGTGGAATAGGTACTTTATTTAATAGTGATATCAATTCATCTGTAGAATCAATAACGGGAGAATCTTTGAATTCATTAGAATAATCTTTTCTTACATCCAGTAAACTTTGTTTTTGAACTATTCTATTAACATCAGAAGAACCATATGAATGTTTCTGATCAATTTTAATAGGTACTTCAGTTGAAAATGATATCACTTCATTTGTAGAATCAATAACAGGAGTATTATTCAATTCACCAGAATAATCTCTTCTTATATCCAATAAACTTTGTTCTGTCACATTGAAATTTTCGTCAACTATTCTACTCACATCAAAAGAATTATGTGATTGTTTCTCGTCACTTATCAAATGTATATCAGGTGGATTAGGTACTTTATTTAATAGTGATATCATTTCATCTGTAGAATCAATAATAGGAGTATCTTTCTGATGTTTATTATCCATACATTCAATAGTTTTACTTTTCTCGTTCAAAAATATTTCTTTATTAAGTATATATTGATTTGATACGTAAATATCTTCTTTTACTTCATTTTCGACATTACTATTATCTTCATCATCATTATTATCATCATCATCTAATGTTTTGATTTGTTCAGTATTCTTTTGTTCTATTTGTTGTATCATCTGTTTTCTCATAGAATTTAATTGATTTGTATATAGTTTAATTTTTTTCATGATATTTTCAATATTTATATTGATAGAAAGATTCTCTATATCATTATCATTACTTACATTGATTGTTTCATTTGTCATAGTAACTAAATTATTAGTTACTATGTTATCTATGATAGTTGTTTGATTATTAATTGATGATTGTAATTGAATCATTTCAATATGAAGTTTATTACATTCGATATTTAATTGATTTAATTTATCATTTAATAAATTATATTGATTTTCTATAATACTTATTCTATTGATATAAGTTTGGAAATCTTTAATCAATATATTAAATATTGGCATAATTTCATTTGGATTTAATATATTTATAGAATAATCATAATGATGATGAAGATGATGATGATTTAATTCATCATTCAAATGATTACAAGTCATTGAAAGAATATCTCTTGGTGTTGTTGTTGTTGTAGTAGTTGTGGTTGCTATATCATGATCCTTATTAATTTTATTTTGTAAAATCAATAAATTATTCAATATTATATTCATATTGATTTTCCATTGATTATTGATTTTTTTCAAATCAATAAATTGTTGAATACATTTTGATTTGTTTAGATCCATTTCAATTTTTTCAATTTTTGATAGGATTTTATTTATTTTATTAAATAAACAATGACCAGTTTGTAATATAGAATTATTGAATTCGTATAATTGTTCTTGCTCTTGTTGTTGTGGTGGTGGTGGTGATGATGATGATGATGCTGATGGAACAAGTACATTGGATTCATTTTCTATAGAACTATCTCTTGATATTAGATCATTATTAGAATGAATAATATTTTCTACTTTTTTCCAATAACAATATTGATTTGTAGTTTGTTTTAATTTATTTAATTTATTTAAATATAAACCTTCAATTAATAATTGATATATTAAATTATAATGATTTTTATAATCAATAATTTCTTTGATTAATTCTTTTCGATTATTTAATAAATAATCAATAAATTTAAAATATTGATTACATTCAATTGATTCTTCATTGGATATTGATTTATTATTATTATTGATTATTGATTTGAATATGATTAATTCTTTTGTAATTTCATTCAATATTTTATCATATAATTGATTATTGATTATTATTAATTGATTATTTTGTTTAATTAAATATAAATTTTCAAAATAAATTTTTTCAATTTCTAATTGTGTATCATTATTGAATTTCTTTTGTATTTCTTTTTCTTCGTTTTCTTTTTTGACTTCTTCTTGTTTATGATATGTATTTCGTCTTATATTATATAATAGATGAGATAATCGATTTATTTCTGATTTAGCAATAAGAAGTTGATGTTCAAGATTAATTTGTTGAGTTTTATCACATATTGATTGTTGCGGATAAATTGTATCAGAATTATGATCAGATAATAAATCAACAGAAGCGTTCACATCATGATCATCGGTACCATTCATTGGATTAATGTGAGGATATTGTGCTTTTAACATGTAATTGTAAACATCAGGATGTTGGATAGAAGAAATACAACGAATACAAATACTACATATAAAGCTCTGATGGAAAACGTTTTGGATTTTACATAAAATACAGGAAGATAGACAACCGGATAAAAGTACTTCATGTAGATTACTGAAATATGTCAAATTATTAGAATAATCACCAAAAACATCAACAAAATTAGAAGATTTTGAAAAAGAAACAACATCTGACAAAAGATCTATAAAGTCGGCACACAAAATACGATCAAAAGCGGTATTTGAAAATCTGGATAAATCCAAAAGTAAATTCACAAACATTGAAAGCAACTTCATACATAAATCAACAAAATCGCTAGCAAATGCTAAAGACATTGAGATTCTTGAAAATTTCTGCTTAAGATCAGAAAGTTCATCATGCAAGAATATATCGCGTGAACCTTCGACGTCAAAATTATCCGAGAAACCATGTACATTTGACAAAACAACACGAGGTAAGCACATATCAGAAACATTTCCCTTACTCTCAAACACATCCATATTTGCACGCAGTATGTCCAAATCACGTCGTTCTGCCTCTACAGTCTCCCTCAACTCATTCACTTCGTCTCGTAAATGACGTTTCTCCTCTCTCAGATCCGCCACTTCACTCTCCTTCACAGTCAACAAACGCCGGACATCCATCAAAGAAGCATCGCTCTCCTCCACCGATCTAGACAGCTTCACTATCTGTTCATAACAAGACGTCAACTCTTCGCGCAGTTGACCAACCACATTCGACTCATCTTCACACAAACTTGAACTCACTAGCTTCTCTCTCGTCATCTCCACTGGACTCCTGGTCGACTGATCTACGGTCGACTGATCGGTAAATCCTGAAGTTGACAATGTGTCAGTAGCCAACCAAGACACGCTGTCTGTCGCTTGGGTCTCCACACTCACAAGTCTAGTCGGAGAACCAACCGACACACTAGGCTTGTGCTCCTCGTGTATACATTCTGAGGAGTAGTCGCTCCAACCGTCAACAACCATGCAATTCGACTCGTCGTCCTCTGCATCTTTACCAACGCCCACGCTCACAGTCTCTCTCGTATCACTAGTGAACCCTGATGACAAAACTATGTCACGTTCAATCATACGATCTAGCATGTCAGTTCCCATGTCACTTCTGCACACTGTTTTTGCCAAACTGGCGTCCACATCGTCTGCCATATCCAACCTACTACGCAGTTCCAACAACTCTTTCATGGCTGTGTCGCGTTCTCTCACAATTTCGTTTACGCGCGACTCCCAGTCTCGACTGGCTATCGCCAACACTGTGTTGCAATGCTCTTCCATCGATGTCTCAAGCCGACACACTTGATCCCGTAGTGCAGAACACTCGTCACGAGAAGCAGACAGTCGACCCTCCAGGTCTGACATTGCGCAAACCTTCTCGTGTCTATAGGCCTCCAATTCCTCTCGGGCAGTTGACGCCTGTTCGACTGCCTGACGAAGAGCTGTTTGCATCAACACCATCTCAGATGCCTGCTTATCACACAGGTCTCGACACTTGCAGAGCTCCTCAGACAGCTCACGGTTCCGGTCGCACAGTCTGCTCATCTCACTTACCGAATCCCAATCTTGTCCTCTCTGCATCGACGTCACTTCATGAGACTCTTGTAGTCGCACAAAGCTATCAAGCATAACAGTAGACTCCAAGTGTTCTGGCCATGTCATTGTCTCACACTCACGGTCCACGTGTTCAACCACACCATGGGACAACCCTGTTGTGACGGCATCTAAACACTCCTGCACTCGTTGTTCGTGCTCTCTGCACCAATCTCCATAGTCGGAACGCAGGCCTCTTATATGGTCAACCACAAACGCCAACAATGCTTTCGTCTTGGTCACATCATTCTCCAAGTCAGTAATCACAGTCATATAACTCTCTAGACGACGCTTCAGCGACTCACACTCACAGATCAGGGCATTGTTCATTGACTCACATTCTTTCAGTTTCTCAGTGACTGCCTCCAACTCGAACGATTGTGTATCCAGTGCACGCTGCAAATCCTCTCGCAACCCATCTGATGTGCAACGGTCAGTCGACGAGCCTTCGTGTGCATAGTCGATGTCTTGCACCGGTGACGTGGATCGACCAACTGTTTCGCACAGGCGATGTGAAACCCGTTCGTACTCACTCATTCTGTTCGCCATGTCGGCGCGGTCAGCATTCGCCTCAGCATGTGCTGCACGCAATTCTCTCACCTGCTTCAACAAGAAACCCAGTGATCCTCTGACCTCATCCATCTCCATGCACACATCGTCCAACAGTGTCACGCGCTCTGAAATCTTACTTCGTAACAAGTCTACCTCTGTCATCAGCTCTTTGTTGTGCTTTGACAGTGCATCAGCTTCGTCCGTCACTTTCATCGACCGGTCAGGCACACGAGAACTAAGAGGCATCACATCCATCGGCTTATCCTCACACATCATAACGCCCTCCAGCTCACGCAGACGCACACTCAACTCTGTCTTGGCATCCTCAAGTTCGCAAATTCTGCTCATGGCCTCCTTCAATCGCGCTCTTAGGCTGTCTGTATTCAACAGGGCAAGTTCGGGATCGTCATTGTCTTGTTCACTCGGCGGTTTCGTCCAACTCTGAGTGGCGTGAATGGGCAAGACCGCTTCCTCGTTTGAAACGCCCTCAACACACAAGTCCGTAGTTTGTCTGTCCATTCGATCAGGCACAATGCCTGACACTGAGTCGCCTGCAACAGTCTCCACCAGCTGCCTGTCAGGAACTCCGGCAAACACGTCTGCCTCCACTCTGTCTGTGTCATCAACCTCTGCAAACTCACGGACAACCACATCGGGCGCCTTTCTCACAGTATCACAAGGAATCGACCAAGTTGTCTCGTTCACCATTATACGTGACTCCAGTTCTTGCACTTCGGTCTGTTTCATGGTCAACTCGAGCTGTGAACGCTCCAGAGCCGCCAACGTCGCCGCATTTTCCTCACGCAGATGGGCAACCTCGAGCTGCAACGTCGACACCAGGTCAAAAACTTTGTCGTCAATCTCCGTCTGCACACACTCCTCCTCCACAGCAACAACAACAGCAGCAGCAGCAGCAGCAGCAACGTTCGGTCCACGACACTCCACGCACATCGCCGACACCTCTTCCTTGCTCTCAAACACATCCATATTTGCACGCAGTATGTCCAAATCACGTCGTTCTGCCTCTACAGTCTCCCTCAACTCATTCACTTCGTCTCGTAAATGACGTTTCTCCTCTCTCAGATCCGCCACTTCACTCTCCTTCACAGTCAACAAACGCCGGACATCCATCAAAGAAGCATCGCTCTCCTCCACCGATCTAGACAGCTTCACTATCTGTTCATAACAAGACGTCAACTCTTCGCGCAGTTGACCAACCACATTCGACTCATCTTCACACAAACTTGAACTCACTAGCTTCTCTCTCGTCATCTCCACTGGACTCCTGGTCGACTGATCTACGGTCGACTGATCGGTAAATCCTGAAGTTGACAATGTGTCAGTAGCCAACCAAGACACGCTGTCTGTCGCTTGGGTCTCCACACTCACAAGTCTAGTCGGAGAACCAACCGACACACTAGGCTTGTGCTCCTCGTGTATACATTCTGAGGAGTAGTCGCTCCAACCGTCAACAACCATGCAATTCGACTCGTCGTCCTCTGCATCTTTACCAACGCCCACGCTCACAGTCTCTCTCGTATCACTAGTGAACCCTGATGACAAAACTATGTCACGTTCAATCATACGATCTAGCATGTCAGTTCCCATGTCACTTCTGCACACTGTTTTTGCCAAACTGGCGTCCACATCGTCTGCCATATCCAACCTACTACGCAGTTCCAACAACTCTTTCATGGCTGTGTCGCGTTCTCTCACAATTTCGTTTACGCGCGACTCCCAGTCTCGACTGGCTATCGCCAACACTGTGTTGCAATGCTCTTCCATCGATGTCTCAAGCCGACACACTTGATCCCGTAGTGCAGAACACTCGTCACGAGAAGCAGACAGTCGACCCTCCAGGTCTGACATTGCGCAAACCTTCTCGTGTCTATAGGCCTCCAATTCCTCTCGGGCAGTTGACGCCTGTTCGACTGCCTGACGAAGAGCTGTTTGCATCAACACCATCTCAGATGCCTGCTTATCACACAGGTCTCGACACTTGCAGAGCTCCTCAGACAGCTCACGGTTCCGGTCGCACAGTCTGCTCATCTCACTTACCGAATCCCAATCTTGTCCTCTCTGCATCGACGTCACTTCATGAGACTCTTGTAGTCGCACAAAGCTATCAAGCATAACAGTAGACTCCAAGTGTTCTGGCCATGTCATTGTCTCACACTCACGGTCCACGTGTTCAACCACACCATGGGACAACCCTGTTGTGACGGCATCTAAACACTCCTGCACTCGTTGTTCGTGCTCTCTGCACCAATCTCCATAGTCGGAACGCAGGCCTCTTATATGGTCAACCACAAACGCCAACAATGCTTTCGTCTTGGTCACATCATTCTCCAAGTCAGTAATCACAGTCATATAACTCTCTAGACGACGCTTCAGCGACTCACACTCACAGATCAGGGCATTGTTCATTGACTCACATTCTTTCAGTTTCTCAGTGACTGCCTCCAACTCGAACGATTGTGTATCCAGTGCACGCTGCAAATCCTCTCGCAACCCATCTGATGTGCAACGGTCAGTCGACGAGCCTTCGTGTGCATAGTCGATGTCTTGCACTGGTGACGTGGATCGACCAACTGTTTCGCACAGGCGATGTGAAACCCGTTCGTACTCACTCATTCTGTTCGCCATGTCGGCGCGGTCAGCATTCGCCTCAGCATGTGCTGCACGCAATTCTCTCACCTGCTTCAACAAGAAACCCAGTGATCCTCTGACCTCATCCATCTCCATGCACACATCGTCCAACAGTGTCACGCGCTCTGAAATCTTACTTCGTAACAAGTCTACCTCTGTCATCAGCTCTTTGTTGTGCTTTGACAGTGCATCAGCTTCGTCCGTCACTTTCATCGACCGGTCAGGCACACGAGAACTAAGAGGCATCACATCCATCGGCTTATCCTCACACATCATAACGCCCTCCAGCTCACGCAGACGCACACTCAACTCTGTCTTGGCATCCTCAAGTTCGCAAATTCTGCTCATGGCCTCCTTCAATCGCGCTCTTAGGCTGTCTGTATTCAACAGGGCAAGTTCGGGATCGTCATTGTCTTGTTCACTCGGCGGTTTCGTCCAACTCTGAGTGGCGTGAATGGGCAAGACCGCTTCCTCGTTTGAAACGCCCTCAACACACAAGTCCGTAGTTTGTCTGTCCATTCGATCAGGCACAATGCCTGACACTGAGTCGCCTGCAACAGTCTCCACCAGCTGCCTGTCAGGAACTCCGGCAAACACGTCTGCCTCCACTCTGTCTGTGTCATCAACCTCTGCAAACTCACGGACAACCACATCGGGCGCCTTTCTCACAGTATCACAAGGAATCGACCAAGTTGTCTCGTTCACCATTATACGTGACTCCAGTTCTTGCACTTCGGTCTGTTTCATGGTCAACTCGAGCTGTGAACGCTCCAGAGCCGCCAACGTCGCCGCATTTTCCTCACGCAGATGGGCAACCTCGAGCTGCAACGTCGACACCAGGTCAAAAACTTTGTCGTCAATCTCCGTCTGCACACACT